ATGAAAAATTAAAGTGCATTACTTGCCTTTATCACGTAATTCCACCAACGCCCTTTTGGCGAGAGAGCCACGAATCTTCAAACGTTCCGATACCACTGAAGGCGTGATAAGCTTGTATTGTGGCACCTCCTTGTAAAGTTTTTCATAAGTGGCTTTGTCAAACAAAATTTGATTGTTTAACTTGTCCCTGACTTTGCCTTTTGACCACTTCTTCTTCTTGGCTTTTCCGCCACCGCTACCCTCCTTCTTCTTCTGTGTCTTTTGTGGCTGTTTAGCCGACGATTTCGCGTCCTTCTTTGGTGGCTGTAAATTTTAAAAATTCTTTTGTAAATATTTACTGGGATTGGAAGTTTTGTAGCCAGCAAGTTTTGTTTCCATTACACCCTTTCACTACACCGCTAGCACCAACAGCCGACCATGTGCATTTGACAGCCATGTTAAATGTTTGTGAAAAAATAATGTAAACGACTTATTTAGAACGTTATTATGTAAAACTCTTTATTAAACATTGAGGCGTTAATTGACTTTGACATTGTCGTATATTTTACAAGTAGAAACAAAACTTTTTGGCCGAAAATTGCAGCAAACGACTCACCATCGTGAGAAACCAAAAGCAAAAAGATGGTGGCCGGATATTGGCAGTGCTGCCACAACACAAATGCCATAATTTGACAGTAGTTGTGTCCATTCACAGTAGGGATAGATAAATTGGCACAGATATGTTATATACCCATTTCCATAAGTGATTATAAATTTCAATGTTTGAAATAAAGTTCCCTCCTAAAAAATGCATATTGTACCGATGTTTTCGATCTATATTTACGTTCTTTGGGATTTTTGGTAATATGGATTCGCCTTGTTTATAACACACACAAATCTAAATTCGCCAGTAACAACACCTTGGCTTTGTTTCTTTTATTTTCTAGCAGATAATTATCAGGAATTTAGAGAATTACGCTCACAGAGAGTGAAATAAAGAAACAGTAAAGAAACGCTAAACTAGCAGAAACTAGCAAGTAAACAGCTGATCGATGTACTTGACTACTGAAAATATTTGGCTCGAATATTTGTTTTTCCATTTTGACAGCTGCTAGTTTCTGCTAGAAAAATTTTACAAGCAGAAATTAGCAGGAGAGCCAAAAAATAAGAGCATAAGAACGAGAGAGAGTTGCTAGTTTCTGCTAGTTTTTTGAGATAAGAAACGCTTACCAACAGAAATAAGTGATAATTTGTGATAATTATCTGTTTAGAAACAAAGCTCTTCGTAAATTCGCATTGGCTGATGGCGCAATATTTTCTATCATTCTTGAGAGTTGTATTCAAGGCGAATTTATACAAGGTGGTGTTACTGGCGAATTTAGAATTTCGTCGCGGTCCTTCTGAATGTCAAAATGATGTATTTGTTGTAAACAAGGCGAATTCATAATACAACAAACACACCATTTTGACATTCAGAAGGACCTCGGCGAAATTCGCCAGTAAACGCCACCTTGTATAAATTCGCCTTGTGCGAAGCTGAGGCAATTTTGTTTCAATTTCGCAAAATTCAATTGTGAATACACTGCAAAAAAGAACAGGCATGACATAAGAATGTCTAAACGTCAGCAAATACAATAAAACGTCACCTTAAAACAACATTCCCGATAAAATTGCTTTGATAACCCGATTTAAGTTAAATTAAAAGTTTAATTTTAGGTTAAAATAACACTACTAACGTTAGTCCAATTGTGAAATTGTGAAATAATGGGAAATATAGCGACAGAATATATATAAAGAAGATATTGAAACGTACACAAGTCTTGCAGCTACATTTGAGAGAGACTTGTAGGAAGAGAGCTACCAGGAGAGGAGCATAGATCAAGAATAAAAAAAAACTTTAACTTGTGGTAATTTTTGTGAATAAACGCCAGCACTAGCGTACAGGTTCAATAACTAAAAACATGTACGGAAACAATCCAAGTATTTTAGAAAAATTCATAATTATTTGTTTTCTGTAATTCCAGCACACGCTTAAGCGGCACCCATATAGTATAACAGCTGAGCTGGCAATGTTACCGTTAACGCACAAGGACCGCAGCAATTTAAGCTACCGCATCAAGGAAAAGCTAAACAGTTGGAAGCGGCTCATATTTTCCGATCGCAATTCGAGAAATCTATTTCTCTTTCTGTTACTTAACTTGAGTTTTGCGTTCGTGGAGCTCTTCTATGGCATATGGACAAACAGTTTAGGTGAGCGTGGGTCTAACGATAGTATTTGGTGATACCTATGATCGTTTGCCATGACTATTAGGGCTATCTATTTACTTTCAACTAATCTTATCTACGCTTAAAAAACTTACTTGCCTTGATATTATCATTGCTGGCAATAAAAAAAGAATTCCACAAAAGTGTTCACGTACACTTAATAAAAGTTTGTGGACAATTCATGTCTTTAGTTGACACATAACATTTACATTTAAGCAACTGAGTTATTAAGAATATCAAAGTTGTTAATCAAATACTTTTTTTAGTAGATTGTTGCCAAAACATTGTCTTGTTTAAACTAAGACCAGCCAATCAAATGTCAGCCAGATGTTCAATTTAAACTCAGTTTACTTAATCTAAGTTTAAACTGGCCCTAAAAAGGTTTATAGAGCGGTAATCAAGTGACAGTCTTAAAACAGGGCTCGAATCGTCACATACGATATCGTATTACTCGTCACGAAAAAAACATATTTTTCGTATTATAATATACATAGTGAACGCTTTCTTTATCCCATTCAGCTTATACGACTAACGTATAACGTAATTTTGTTTGGTATGGTTTTCGATCTGTGAACAGATGTTACGAGCCCTCGATACCACATTGAAATTTGTATTATTTTTTTAAATTGTATTTGCGAACAAAATATATTCAGTTATTTTATTATAAAGCCATTGGTAATGTGACCGCTCTTTTTTATTTGCTCACTTATTTTCAAGCATTTAAATAAAACCATTTAGGCCATAAAACTGGTTCCTTCATACATACATACATATCGTCGTTCAAAGTGCAAAACCGTTTATCGTGGTGCTGCAAAACCGCGTAACTGACATTTGTGACAAAAATGAGATTTTCTCCCCGGAAGCTCCTTGTAAATAACTAGCCTAACATGGGTAAATGGTTTTGTCCTTTAACCGGCGATATGCATTTACTACTAGTATTTATGAATCAATCTAAAATTTTACAAATCGCCATTTATTAAAAAACTCTTACAACTCAAAAAACAGAATTTTCAAGCCAAGCATGCAGAATTACTACAACATGCTTCATCGTGTGTAAAAACCTGTTTTAGTTTTCGCGTAAGAATATATGCATTTCTATTTTCTGAATTTTTTGAGTGCAAATTGAAAACTTTAAACGCGTCTCATGAAAATATTCGATTTTTTAGTAAATAGTACGTTGCATTCACACTTTTTTGTACATAATGTAGAAATTCATATTTCTGTTATTATCCCATTTTATAACCATAGGTCTCATATCGGACTCGTTTCACATGTTCTTCGACTGCACGGGTCTGCTCGCTGGTCTAGCAGCCTCAGTGATCACCAAGTGGAAAGCTAACGATAAATTTTCTTACGGCTATGTTCGTGCAGAAGTGTTAGCCGGCTTCGTGAATAGTCTTTTTCTACTTTTTATTGCTTTCTTTATTTTATCTGAGGGCGTAGAGCGTTTAATTGAACCACCAGAAGTGAAACACGAACGGCTGTTTGTAGTATCCGTGCTCGGACTGCTGGTAAATCTGGTTGGTATCTATGCATTTCAGCACGGACATGGGCATTCTCACGGAGGTGGCGGTGGACATGGTCACTCCCATGGTGGTGGTGGTGGTGGGGGTCATGGTCATTCGCATGGTGTAAACAATCACATTGACTTGAATAATCACAATCATCAAGCGATAAATTTGGATGGCAGTAGGTGTACAAACATACATAAATACTTGCGTTTCTTTTTAATTTATATGTATCTTTACAGGCCATAGTCATAGTCATGGCGGTGGGCATGGTCATTCACATGGGCTCACCGATGATATGTCTGGCAGCAATTCTCAAATCATGCGTGGTGTCTTTCTACATATTTTAGCCGACACGCTTGGCTCGGTAGGCGTTATCATTTCGGCGGTGCTAATGCAAATATTCGGTTGGATGATTGCCGATCCGATTTGTTCAATATTTATTGCTTTGCTTATTGCCATGAGCGTGCTGGGTCTGATAAAAGAATCAATACTGATATTAATGCAGCGGCAACCGTCAGCGTTAGATCGCGCGCTGCCACAATGCTATCAAAAGGTGACGGGATTGGCTGGCGTTTACGCCGTACAGGATCCACATTTCTGGACATTATGCTCAGATGTCTATGTGGGTGCTATTAAGTTGGAAGTTTCCAAAAATGTGGATCCCAAATATGTGGTCACACATGCGCGCATGATCTTTGAATCTGTAGGAGTAAAGCAGATTTACATTCAACTGGACTATGTGTGATAGCGATGGACTATAATAGATCGGATCGGGCCGGGTTGTTGAATAAACTTTCGTTTTTATTTTTAAAAACGGCTAAAATAAAAGAGGAAGAGAAATGAGCATTCGAATAATTAACCTGTTATTCAGTTCATTGCGAGGGCGGGCAATCGAAAACGGAAATTTTGTTTTAATCTTTACCTTAAGTTAATTTTGCAAAGCAGTTCACTCAACTGCTTGAGTAAACAGTTAAAATATTTTTTTCTACGTGTATAATGTGTAGATAATTTAGATAAACTTGAAAGAAACTGTTAACGATTAGAACTATGTTTTATACTTATTTACATACAATATTAACATATTTTGTTACATGATATGGTATTTATTTTAATATAATTGTGTGAATGTACGAAATAATGAATTGCAGATGCATATATAAAATAACGAAAATTTTAGTGAAATCATTCCAATTAAAGATTTAGTCGAAAATCGATCAATCCTTTTCCAACCACAACGAGTGATCAAATCCGGGACGAATACTTAAGAGCAAGTAGTACATGTAAGTGCGTAAGCTCTTATAAAAAATTGCCATTTAACTGAAAATGAACAAAGCGGGTTGCTTTATTTCAATGAAGTTCAGCAAAATGTACATACAATGGTGTTTATAAAACAGCGTTATAGAAAAAAACGATATACGATGCTGCAAATAAATTTGTATACTTAATAAATAAGTAGTCATAAGTGCGGATATTAATAAAAATTGAAAAATAAAAAAAAATACTTAACACTCTAATTCATACTTCATAAAGAAATTTTTCCAAGACGAGTCCGATATCTGATCAGACGGAGTATCATCAGGAGACCTCTACCAAAAATACATACATAAATATATGTCTTTACTAATGGAATCTTGTGCGACATTACAATTATAAAGGCAAGTGAAAATAACTTTTCATCTAAAGGTGGTATCTACTTTTGAATGAATTTGGCCCTCCAAAAGACAATGCAAACAATGCAAAACTTACCTTCACTGCTCCCGCTTTTTTATTGAAAATAAGATGAATGACAAGAAAATACTCCAGTTAAAAGTTAAGAATCGGAGCTTGGTAAGTAATTGAAATAAACGCACATCATAGTCAGGCTGCCACGTTTTACTGCCCTGAAAGAGTATGTACAAGCTTATAAGTATGTCCTAAAGAC